TCTTCTTCTAGAGGTTGTGGCTAGAACGGCTCTAATGGAAGTGCGTGATGTTCAGAAGATTAATATCAGTGATGTTATTGCTTAGTTTTGGTATGATATAGTGTTCCTGGAAGAGGCGGTTATTCTTTTTGCCATTTTAATCTTGTTAGTTTCAGGGCTAAAGGATGCTATTGGTATTGGGGTTGGTTTTTCTATACTGGTCCCTTTCATTAGGCAAATTTGTGTTTGGAATAGTGTTGTGTTTTAGACATCTTTTCTTTCGCATCTTTGTTTTTTTTTTTTTTGTTTTAGAATTTGTTCTCTCCAGTAATTTTCTAAGGGTATACCCTTTGTGAGCTTGTAAATATATATCTTTTTCCTTTTGTACAAAAACCATTTATGAAAATAAATAAATAAAAATACATTCATTTAACACTGCTAGAAGGGCAATAACCTATCAGATACAAACCCTCCGAGTTCAGGAGTTCGAGCCTCACTGAAGGTAAAGTGCATGTGTTGGTTTAACCTAAACCACTAAACAACCCTATATAAAATAGGCAAAGTAATATATGTACTCCCTCGTCCCACTTTTTTTTTATTTGGGTATCCCAAATTAATTATTTTAAATTAAAAAGTCAATGTACTATTTTTACGCTATTTCTAATTTACATTTCTTTCAGTGAACTTATGAAAACAAAACGTTATCACAGACTCATCAAGAATATATTATATAATTCATTTACTACTAATATAGTAAAAAATATTATTACACTTAAATTAGAATGAAGATATAAATGTTGTGTTGTAGGAATGGTTTAGTTGCTTCACGGAAAACCGTGTTCATGTACCCTTCCCCTTCCGTCTAATCATTGACGGACCCAAAAATTTTTTTGAGGGGGGCACCGTTGAAGAATAAATAAAATTGAAGACAAATATTTTTAAAGTAAAATAATAAATATACGAGTTTTAAAAATTAGTGGTTAAAAATGTGAAATGGAGTATTTTAAAAAATTGAGTGGGGACGTTTTTGAAATTTGAATTGAAATATAGGTAATAATGTAAATTGGGAAAAATCCAGTGGGGGCATTTTTGAAACTTTAGTTGAAAATATAGATAATAATGTAAATTATAAAACATCAAGTGTGGGCATTTTTAAAATTTTAATTGAAACTATAAGTAAGAAAATAAATATAAAATAAAATTGAGAGTTTGGGACAAAATGTATTGTCCTCTCCCTATCCTGAAAGGAAAATGATTTTTGTATGGAATACTTACTGAGAATTGCTAGACTTACTTTTTTAATTGATTAATTATGCAACAAATAAAAAAGTGAAGTCTTCCGCTTAATTGTATTTGGTTTAAATAGTCAATTAAAAATTATTTTAATTCAGTATACAAGTGTTCTTTATCTATCTTAAAATAAAATAGTTGTAGTGAATTGAAAAATTTATTACTCTTTTCATTAATCAATTGTGTAACAAATAAGAAAGAAAAACGCTCACTTAATTGTAAGTATTCTTACCAGGCATCCTAAAAAAGAAAAGTGGATTACGGAGCGAGAGACTGACTAATACCATACCAACGCATGTATACACATGCACGTGGAGAAATCCCCAACCCAACCACAGCCCCCACCCGTCGCCGCCCCCGCCTCTCTTTCATTCTCCCCCACCAAATGCTCCCTCCATCACCGCTGCCTGCGTTCCCCACGCTCTCTCAATCTCTCTCTCCACCAATCCCCAAATCAAACCCCTCTGCCAAACGCATTTTTTGGTCAGTATGCAATGGAGAGAGAGACAAAGAATTGGATTTACAAAGCTGCTTCGGCTTTGGAAGACGAAGGCAGTGCTCACATGCCGAGCACGCCAAATCGGGTGCCAACGAGAAATCGATTGCACGAAACAGGTATGGTACTAAAATACTGAGCTTATTTGAGAATTTGACATTGGTTGTGCATACTGGAGTGCACAATCTTGGATTTCAAACCTAAATCCATCATATTGATAGATACAATGGGTGTATCTATCTATCTGTGTGCATGTATATATAGATGGGATGAAGAACAACTAAATGAGGTGGTTGTTGGTGTGATAAGCATTTTATAATGTTGGGCAATGAATTCGTGTGACATTAGAATATGAGGGTATCATCAAAACTAAATTAAATAGCTTATTTACTTAAATATATTATTAAAAAACAAAAAAATACTCCTAGCAGACAACTAGCATTGACTAAGGATGCCTCTTACATTGTTAAGTACTCGTAGCACAATATGCTGCAAATGTCAAGTTGGCTCATATAATTTAGATATGAAATTCAAATTTGAATCCAATTCTTGCAATCTGAATTTATTTTTCTAATCTTGCGCCAAGTTTCGATTAGGCTTGGTTTTGGGATAGTTAGATATCTTAATAATACAGCTATTAGGAATGTAGTTGAGGGTGGGTCAAGTTTGACACCTTTGTCCAGTTTCAACCCGAATTGAGTTTTGGATTCGACAAATTTCAACCTAATAAAACCAGTTGACAGAAGGAAGCAGTTCAAACATATTCAAAGATTGTGCTGTGTTTGATAATTTCAGGTTGACCCGTTGTGGTTGCATTTTTGTAGCCCAATAAATAGGTATTAGGTAATTTCCTAGGTTGCACCGACATGCATGGGAAATGGCTGTGAAAACATGTCTCACACGATTACCAGTCTGTTGGAATTTGAATATTTGTTTGTGCTCGAGATGGCTTGGCCACACAAGGACACGGCTGATATAAGGCATGGCACAACATGGACAAGTTTGGGACATTTGTTGGACATGGCTGGGTTGTATTGTAATTTTTTTTTTTAATGGGTTCCAATGCAATTTTAAAACACATTATGCATCACCACCAGGCCTCTAGCCTGAATGGTATGATCTCTTCTCCTCAAAGGGGAAGTTGAGAGTTTTAGCCCCGTGAGGAGCATGTTGTAGGTATGTGTGTATGCTTTTAACTTTTAAAAAAAAAAACACACATTATGCATTAATAAAAAATAATATAAAGTTTTAGAAAACATAAAAAAAAAAAAAAAAGGTGATCCAGTTCTAAGCTCCAAATTAATGATTATATGGATAAAATGAGTAAAATTCAATTTGTTTATATAATATTAGTAATACATTATATTATTATTTTACTTGTATCTTTGCTGAGTTCATTTATTTATTTTTGTACAGTGTCCCTTTCCGGTATCATTGCTTCACCAGTCATCCATCAAAGTGATTGAACTGACTGGGGTGATATTAGGTATTTTTAGTGTGAGTGGATCCAGTGCGGTAACAACATGGTGTTGTAATGCACCGAATTGCTGTGATCTCTCACACATGTAAATTTATGATGTTCACCCAATAAGGCCCATTATAAAATTCCTCTTCTCCCATTAACATCCATTGCTTTCTATTTCTCAGAACAAAAGAACAGCTTTATTATTTTAGATTACTAAAAGCAACAGATTGGTTAATATATAAGGCGAAACAGAGGAGCAACCGTTGCTGCATTTTATCATGTAAATTTATGCTGTTCATGTGATTTTTTTATGGTATGCCTGAACCAAAGATTTGTCTTGTTGCAGCTTTGAAGTGGTTTTTACAACACATCTTGACAACCCAATCAAGAGAAAGTTCAACTAATGATTTGAGAGAAGGATATTGCCTTAAGTTGGAGAAGAAAACCATCTACCACTGGAAAAGGACTTCCTGAATGAAGTAGTTAGTTTTAAACTATTACTACCTTTTTTTTTTCTTTGTTGGTTTATGATTAATTCAATCACCCTTTTCCATAAACAAGCTAAATTTAACTGTTGAAATGTCAGTAATTTTTTTATATTTTTATGCAATCAATAACCAGATAGAACTGTTAACAAGACCTTAAAAAGATGACAACCCTAGGAAATCGCAATATTAACTACTAGTTGAAGAAGAGAATTAAATTGTTTTCTGGTAATGTTGACTGCTCCAATTCTTGGTGGTTCAGTTATTGGCCTCGAGATTACTGTAATGGGACTCTTCAATGAATTCACTCCAATGATAAATCAGCGGCTAAGGGGGGACTTGCTTTCTTTTGAAGCAAATCCTTCAAATATAGAAACTGGGTGTACAGGGAACCAAATTGGCCACTAGGTACTGTTCAGATGACCCTGTTATTAGATAGCCTTGCAAAGTTCAAGCAGCAAGTACTGTTCAATTCCCTAAGCCATTTAAGCACTTCGTAACACCCTACTGCTTTTCCCCCACTCTTAAGGCTATATGAGAGAAGTTTCTAAAAAAAATTCAAGGATTTAGGAAATGGCTCAATGTTGGACTTTTTGACTAGACCTTGTTTTATATCATACTGTCCATCTAGGATCAAGATCTGACAGCAATACCATAAATTTGTAGGTAGCTGAGATTTTCACAACTTTGATGGTGTCAAGCACCAGGACATGAATGAACAGGTTATGTGGGGGAAGAAAAAAAGAAGTCAACATTCCAAGTCATGCATATGACAATTTCCCCCTTTCTTCTCTGTCAGTTCATTAGCAAATCTATTCTGAGAATTTTATTTGTGTTATCTTCTTTTTCTAATCAAATGACAGGTAATGCTCCTGAACTTTTGCTTGATATATTTTTAGAAAGCAACTGGTCCAAGATCATAAAATTTTCATATTTTGCACCAAACAATGTTAAATTCATGAAAAATGTATTTTCAGTTCTAAGAAGGCTAGTGACATTTAGCTTGCCAGGTCTTTTCTTTTTTAAATATGTCCCTCTTGCTATATACTATTTGTTGCTCACTATCTGCTACCGTCACTATAATAATAAGTCACAAAATCCAGGTGGCTTTGATATTATCAAGAAAATTTAGAAATAAATATCCCATATGGACTCAATAATTTAATTAGTCAATGTTTATGAATATTATGCATCAATAGTGATTTAAAATAGTTAGCCATGAATTGACTTTTTATGTAGAATGCATTTGGTGTACATGATCTATACAAACTGACAATGACTGCTTCTTTGAAGGCTATCTGTAAATTCACTAAATTGTTCTTGTGATTTGTATTATCTCAAGAACTAAGAAGGTTTTGCTCTACCAGTGTAAGAGAGGAAAAACTCCTAAAGGAGGATATGAAAATCCCTGTTCCTGAACATTGGAAACAGCTTTGGGAGTCATGGGATCTCCGAGGCTTCATTATCTTAAGCCTTTCACTGCAAGCCTTCTTAATTTTGTTTGCTCCCTTGAGAAAGCGAACGCCAAACAATTGGATACTCATGCCGCTCTGGTCGGCATATTTGCTTGCAGACTGGGCTGCAAACTTCGCTGTCGGACTCATCTCCAGCAGCCAAGGCAACAATTCTGGTCCTGTGAATAATGGAGATCTTCTGGCATTTTGGGCTCCATTTTTTCTGGTACACCTTGGTGGCCCGGATACCATAACTGCTTTCGCTCTTGAGGATAATGAGCTGTGGCTCAGGCACTTGCTTGGCCTCATATTCCAGTGTGTGGCTGCTCTTTATATCTTCTTTCAAACGCTACCCAACAAGCTATGGATCCCAACAATGCTCATGTTTATCGCAGGGGTTATCAAGTACTCTGAGCGAACGCGTTCTCTGTATCTCGCAAGCTTGGGTAGTTTCCGGGACTCCATGCTTATGGAACCTGACGCTGGGCCTGATTATGCCAAGCTCATGGATGAATACTTTTCGAAGAAAGAATCAAAACTTCCAACACGGATTGTGATGATTCCAGAACCTGATAGAGTAATCAAAGCTGCCACTGCAGACAAAGTAGCTGATTTGACCGACTTACAAGTGGTGCAACATGCCTATCGCTTTTTTAATACTTTCAAGGGGCTCATTGTTGATCTCATATTCAGCTTTCGTGAGCGCAACCAAAGCCGAGACTTCTTCCTGAAAAGGAATGCAGAAGATGCTTTTAAAGTGATAGAGGTCGAATTGAATTTCATATATGAAGTTCTCTACACCAAGGTCAGTGTGGTGCATTGTATATTTGGGTACATTTGCAGATTTATTTCGTTTTGTTCTGTTGTTGTAGCCCTTGTACTCTTCTATTCGGAGGACAAGCAGGGATTCCATAGGTCTGATGTTAAAATAACCTATGCGTTGCTCCTTGGTGCCATGGCCCTGGATATAATTGCTCTATTCATGCTCATCTTCTCTGATTGGACCATTATCGCCTTCAGTGAGTCACCCGAGGTTAACTCTCAGCATAAATCATTTGTTGATAAAATCCTTAGCTTCTTGCTAGAAGTCAAGAGGGGAAAGTGGTTTGAAGACTCCTCAAGGCCTACGAAAGTCTTGCATCGCAGGTGGTGTGAATCTGTTTCAAAATACAATTTGATATATTATTGCCTGCATCAACGTTCAAAAATGAAAGAAAATATCATTGGTTATTTGGGCCTTACAAACTTTTTAGATGGGCAGAAGTATGTGCAGAGGGAAACTTTCACTAAAGAGCTAAGAGACTTCATCTTCAAGGAGCTGAAAATGAAATCTGAGATGGCAGATGATTTAGAAACTTCCAAGGAGATATCTTCAGCCAGAGGTGACTGGATTCTTCGGATTAAAGATCGGGGCAACTTACTTCCTTATATTGTTGATGTGGATTATGATGAAAGCCTTCTATTATGGCACATTGCAACTGAACTCTGCTACAATGACGATACTACTGATGAAGGAAATGCTGATAAAAATACTGGCGCAGACAAGAGTTCACCACAGTGTTGTTGCTTGCATTTACCCAAAAAAATAACTGGTGCGGGCAATGCTGGTGAAGGAAATGCTGGTCAAGGCAATACTGGTAACAATACTGGTGAAGGCAATGATTCTAAGAAGTATCGTGAATTTTCGAAGCTCCTGTCAGATTACATGTTATATCTTCTAGTTATGCAGCCAACAATGATGTCTGCAGTGGCCGGTATTGGGCAAATAAGATTCAGAGATACCTGCGCAGAAACCAAGAAATTCTTTAAGAGAAAGAGATCAGAACAGGGACAGGAACAGAGTCGAGCCTTTCCAAATATCAAGAATTTTTTTCGTAGAAGGAAATCAGAACAGGGAAAGGAACAGGAACTGGCTCGAGTCTTTCCAAATATGAAGAAATTTCTCCGTAGAAGGAAATCAGAACAGGAACAGCAACAGACACGAGCCCCTCCAAATATCTTTACTGTTAAGAAATTCTTCTGCACAGATAAATCGAAAGAGGTTGAGGAACAGAGAAGGGCCTGCAAGAGTATCCTGGATGTTAATACAGAAGTTAAACCAGTTACTGTGAAAGGAGATAGAAGCAAATCTGTGTTGTTTGATGCGTGCATGCTGGCTAAAGAGCTGAAAAAGTTGGATGAGAAAGGGAAAGATAAATGGGAAACAATAAGCGGAGTGTGGGTAGAATTGTTGTCTTATGCTGCGAGTCATTGCAGACCAAATACTCATGCTCAGCAACTGAGTAGAGGTGGAGAGCTCATCACTTTGATTTGGTTGTTAATGGCTCATCTTGGCTTGGGGGATCAATTTCAAATTAGCGAAGGCCATGCAAGAGCAAAACTTATTGTGAGGAAATAGCTGAATCATTAAGGAATGCTATTGCAGCTGCTTTTAATTTTCTGATGCCATTGTTTTGTAATTTTCTCTCCTGTTTGGCATTCAATCGATTGATGACATGCCTTCAATCACTGTATTTTCGTGCAATAAATCAAAATCCTAATTGTCAATGAGAAAAGGAGATGAAGTGTGTGTGTGAAAAACTTTATTTTGATCTTACTCCTTTTGTTGTTTCAGGTTTCAAGAAAATCAAGGCCTGTCGTATATTAATTTACATAAATATTTTTCTGCAGTACACAGTTTTCAAGAAAATCAAGGCCTTCTGATTATATATGGTCACGTTTTGAAAAAAAAAATAATAATAAAATTAAATTATGAACATCAAATGTGTAAAGTGGACAATATTTACACAAACTGAAATAAATCGTGAGTCGTGACTAGCTTCCGCGAATTCAGAGTTTTAAAATCATTGCCATTTCATATAAAATCTAAAATAAAAATTATACATGGATCAATTATATTATATGTAATTAGAATATTTGAGTGAGGCATTTATAGATCTATACATTATTTGTACAGTTTTTGTACGTTTTGTTATGTAGCGTTTACTATTACAAGATGGAAGATAGTTGTAAGTACACATGCTTAGTTATGTGCTACAATGTAATTAAAAAGTCACAAGTTGGATTTATTTATATAACACATACAATATGAATTTCATATTTTTATCCAGTCATTTGCAAAATTAGATAATAATAATAATAATAATAATGCATGCAATAGGCAGATCCTACACTGGTAGGTACTCTTAGTTCAATAGAGGTGCAAATGGGGACGGTTTGCACAGTTGTAAAGGTTGGTTCCACCTCAAATTGAGATATAAAAATCTCCATTCAAGTTTGGATACAATTCAACTAATCTAAGTTTATTATTCTAATCTTAGTCAAGTTTTAGTTGATTATTATTTTATTTTTTATTTTAATTTCTTATTTGTTTTTCAGAATTAATAATATATTTATTAAGTACAATACGTCACAAAGTCAAGAAGGCTAAATAGCCCACTGTAAGTTTTTTTGACTTGGGCTGAATACCATATATACGAGTTCTTGGGTGAATTAGTAGTATATTCTCATAAAAATCTCCCCACAGACATACATATATATATATATATAGTTTTTTTGACTTGGGCTGAATACCATATATACGAGTTCTTGGGTGAATTAGTAGTATATTCTCATAAAAATCTCCCCACAGACATATATATATATATATATATATATATATATATATATATGTGAGATAGAATTAATTTAGAAATCTGAAGAATTCATAACTTTGAGTTAGCAAGCATTGAAAGTATCGAATGAGGGGGTAGTTGGAATCATATGCATGCTGATTGGAAGTTCCACAATTTCATGTTTTCGAAATAATTGCCATTTCATATAAAAAAGTGAATTATATATGATTCAATTATATTTACTATTCACATATTTATATTACAAGTTGTACATTGCTAAATTATTTAAACAGTTTGTTTGATTTGTTTAGTCAAAGAGTTTACTTTTACAAGATGGATGTAGTTACGCATGGTTAGTCTTGTGCCACAGTGTGATTAAGTTGAATATATATATCTATGAATAGTTGACCACCAGAGTCCAGGCAATTGCCTAAAAAAAAAAAAAAGCTAATTAATGTGACATCAGAGCCATAATTTGGAGTACCTTCTTATGTATATATATATATATATATATATATATTACTTCCTCCGTTTTAAAATAAATATTTTTTAAAAAAAAATTTAAATTTTAAGATGATGAGTTTTAGTGTGTATATATGAATGAATTATCAAATCTATTTATAATGGATCCACATGAATGTGATTGTTTACTTTCTTTTTTATATTTAATTTTGAACATAATTTATGTACTTGTTTCTTATAAGCTCATTTTTATTTCATTTTAGACACAATTGAAATCTCCATGGATTCATTTTTTTAAGAAATTTTTAGATGGTTTTGAGAATATTAGTTCCGGCCAATTACGATTGGACAAGTAAGTAAAAAGTTGAAAAAACTCTTAACCACTTCTGCTATAATTACTTACGTGTCCTCTAATGATAATTGGCGAGGAAGCAATGATCCAATTTGTGTGTGCATGTGTCTTGTTTGTATTTGGGTAGGATCCCTAGGCTTAGTTCAAAGAGTACAAGGTACAATACGTATGTAATCTATCTAACAAAAGTTATGCTTAAAGCATTGGAATTAATTAGACATTATGTTTGATTTGGTATTTTAAACAGCTCGTTCATTTATTTTTTGAGAACCAGAATGCTTGTAATGATCAATGCTTAAAACTCATGTTCTAAACAATAGACAGATAAGTTACTCAATTATGTTTGGTTGGAGGGATGGATTGAGGGGATGGATGAATATTTTCGTGTTTGACTGGAGGAAAGGAAAGAGAGAGAGAAAACAAGGAGGGATGCAGCCTTCCTTTATGTTTTTCTATCCGTCCATTTTTTAGGGGAAGAGAGGAGAGAAAGAAGGCATAACTACCTATAAATTTATAATTTACAATTTTAACCTTTTCAAAAAATTTGAAATAAATATCTACCTTTTATAATTTTATATAAAAATGGTATATTGGTAAAAATAATATAAGAACTCTCCTTCTTTTCCTTCTAATCAAACAAGAAAAAAGTATCACTTCATTCATTCTTTCTTCTATCCATTCCATTCAACCAAACATAAAATGGGAAAGACACCCTTCCTTACTTGGGATATCTCATCCATCCCTCCCTTCCTTGGGATATCTCATCCATCCCTCCCTCTACCTCTTTCATCCTTTTTTTCATTTCTCCAACCAAACAAAGCATTGGATTAAACCTCATCATCAACACACTCTCATATTAAAAGTGCATCCTCAACCATTAAATTAACAAAAAAAATCCCTTGAATCTATCGCACAATAATTGGAGAGGCATGATTTCAAGATGAGAGTACTCTCATGATAGATTTGTCTAGACATTACCTCAAGATGAGAGTACTCTCGTGATATATTTGTCTAGGCATTATGTAATAAACACACATACATGCATATACATTTTAAGAAAAATTATTACTAAGTCCTACTTTTCTCATTTTGAGACAAATAAGTCCTAATTTTTTTTCTTTAGGACCAATAAATTTTACTTTTGATATTTTCTTCTTTTTATTCAAGTCTTAAATCACTAAATCTTCCATCTACACTCTAACAAGGGCAACCTAGGAATTCATCCTTGGGAGGGCCAAGCTAGTTGGAGGGAAAAATTAAATTAAAAAAGGTAAATTATATGGACCTCGCCTATAGTTTACAGGACTTCCCATTTGATTTGAGAATTTATACGAACCTCTTCTAAAAATGAAACTAACCTACGTGAACCTTCATTTTGTTAGAGTTAACATCAGTCAATGACAGATTGTACTGACGCCATGTACTTAATACACTGAAATTCCTTATTTACCCTTAGTTGGAGTGTGTGCGCATGTGTGTGTGTATACATATATAACTGTGACAGTCCAGTTGGCAAGCAACGTACAAAAAAAAAAGACACGTGGTCACAAGTACTATTCTCCAGCAACAGAACGGCATGGGTTTGTTCGGCTGTGAAGAAGATGTCGAGCACTATCTGAACGACGCGAAGGTAGCAAGGAACAGCAAGCTTCGAACGGCATGAATGGATTCTCGAGGCTGTGAGGCTTGGGATATGTCGGCGGCACACCGGAACAGCGTTGGATCCTGTACAATATTGGGGTTTGAGAGAAGAGAGAGAGAGTCACTACTCGTCGGCGATAGTGTGCCTATTCGGATCAACGCCACCGTCTTCGGCGGAGTATGAATCTGAGGAGTGAATAATTGTTGCTCGTCAATAATGGTGTGCCTGCTCGTATCAACGCGAATTGAGGATTTATCTCCACTCCGGCGTCTTTGAATCGTCAAAAAACTCTTAACCGAAAAACCTAACCCAAACCCAAATCACCACCACCACCAATTTCCTTTACGAAATCCCTGAAACCTCCAACCCAAATCACCACAAATTCTTCACAATTTCTCTCTCATACCCAGCTCAAATCACCGCCACCGTCGTCTGCAAAACCCTGGGTAAGATTGAGGTGGAGAAGACCGTCACCAATTTTCCTTACGAAATCCCTGAAACCTCTAACCCAAATCACCACCAATTCTTTACAATTCCTCTCTCATCCCCTATCTCAAATCACCGCCACTATTGTCTATAAAACCTTAGGTATGTATGATTGAGATGGAGAAGGAAGCCTTTATATTATCCAATCAAAAAGACCTATTTGGTTATGATTGAGATGGAGATGCAATGGTTTGGTAGTTGGTAATAGAGCGACAAGGTGGTGGTGGTAAAGGGTGGAAGGAGGTGGCCGTGGAGGGGAGTGGCGATGGTAGGTGGAGATAAGAGAAAGTGAGAGAATGAAGGGAAAAAGCTATCAAGTACGGACACTCCTTCAGGTCCTGTACTAATATCGAACATTTTTGGGACACGGATATTCGTGTCCGAAACTTCTGTGAAGTGTTCAGAAATTATTTTTTATTGGACACGGGGTGGACATGGCTCGAACACTGGGTGGACACGGCTCGGACACGGCGGGGTATATTTTGTAATTTTTTTAAGATAAATGGGGTACCTAATGTAATTTTTTAGAAGTTTAAAAGTAAAATTTTGAAAAAATAAAATAACAACTACACACAACAGAGTACTGCACAGTAAATTTATTTTCTCTCACTTCCTCTCTCAGTTTCTCCTCTTTTTTAATTATCTACAAAACATATATATATATATATATATATATATTTAAACTTACATGAACAAGAGTTTGTAAAAGACTAAAAGTATATATGTTTATTCATGTACATATTTAGCCCATTATAACTATGTTTCTTCTGCACATCTTTATTTGGAATATGGATCAACTTTATTTTTCATTTATTTTCTGTTTTGTCTTGTCTTTGTTTTTTCTTATAACAAAGATGAAATTATTGAAATTGGTCATGTTATTTGTTGTTATTTTATTTACAATTTTGTATTTATATATACCTGTTTGTTATTAGTAAAATGAATGAGCAAGGTTCTAG